GAAAGGGGTTTAGTGCCACCTGTACGTATGTGGGGGTGGCATGAAAGTGTTGTGCAGTGCCTGTGTGAGCACTTGTGTCCCTTCCCATGAAGCATAAGCCTGGAGAATAATGAGAGTCTGTTCAGGTGCTGTCCGGCCTACTTCAGTTGAATAGGTACTTTGATGGACTGGGTTGCCTGTGTTCTGGTTTCCATAGCGCCGGGAATTGCTTAGGAAGCAGCTCAGTGTAAAGGGCTCCCTCTTCATTGAAGATGAACGACTACCCCCCAACAGCCACAACAATGCCAGCGATACATGTGTGCCTTTTAAAATGAATGTGCTTTTACGGCATGGACCCTTGTCTGTCAGTTTTCCAAGAATCGTCTGAGGGCCCAAGACTATAGGCCAGAATGGCTGTGGAAACCGGCATGGCTACGTACATGTTAGAGACTTTTCATACCAAGTGTTTTTTTTTTCTTCTTGTACTTGCAAACCAGAAAGCCGCTGTCACCAAGAGTTACGCTCGCTCCATCAGGGAAACTGATCAAAGATAACGAGCACAGCTCAGATATCAAATAAACACCCTGTGAGTACTGTACCAGAAAGAAATTATTGACCGTAAGTAGAGGGTGAAGAATATTAAACTCCCAATGTAAAGCAACAAATTAATAATTTATTTGCCCAGTTTCCATTATTACTAAGCTTTCTCAGTCTAAAGCTGTTATTTCCAGCCCTAGTGCTCTTAGTTGGAGTACAGCCACAGCGTGCATGAGGAAGGCCTATTGATGTAACATCGCCATCGAGTTGATTGGACACAGCAGTGGCCTACTAGCAGGCGTGCTGACATAATGGTGATTTTGTTAGCCAAGTTTTCCTCTCTGCCCCCCTCCTCCATTCCTGTGTCCAAAAGGTACAAGTTATCAGAAAGAAAATCTTTCTGTCTCTGTTGAGCCAGTGAGAGTAAACAGGATGTCCTACTGAAGAGAACAGAGGACCAGATGAAAGTGGTTGGGAGCAGACACACAAGTGAAGTATTTCAAAAGGGCAGGCGTTTGTATGGATGTGTGCAGACCACCTGGGGCAGGCGCTCAGGCACACAGGTCTAGTCAGAAAACAGAGCAGATTCTGGGAATGTGTGTGATTGTGTCTGTGCATTGGGCAGCTGTGAATACGCAGACAGACATGGGGGGAAGTGGTGAGTGCGTGTGTGGTAGAAGAGTGGTTTGCTAAGAGATTTCACTGCATTTAAAGTGTGTGTTTGCTGGGCTCTACTACCTCAGTACGTGTGCCATAGGAATATAAGAAAAGCCATACTGGGTCAGACCAAAGGTCCATCTAGCCCAATAGTCTGTCTGCTGACAGTGTCCAATGCCAGATGCCCCAGAGGGCGGGAACAGAACATTTACCATCAAGTGATTCTCCCCCCTTCTTCCTCCCCCACCACCCATTTCCAGCCTTTGACACAGAGAGGCTAGGGACACCATTCCGACTAAGTATTGATGGCCCTAATCTCCATGAATTTATCTAGTTCTTTTTTGAACCCTGTTAAAGCCCTGGTTTTCACAACATCCTCTGGCAAGGAGTGCCACAGGTGGATTGTGCTGGCTGAAGAAATACTGCCTTTTGTTTGTTTCAAACCTGCTACCTATTAATTTCAGTGTGTGACCCCCCCCCCCTTATTAAATAATTTTAACAAGTAAATAACTTTTCTTTAGTCACTTTCTCCACACCTGTCATGCGTTTATAAACCTCTATCATATCGCCCCTTAGCCGCTTATTTTCTAAGATGAAAGTCCCAGTCTTTTTAAGCTCTCTTCATATGCCACCCGTTCCAAACCCCAGTCAGTTTTTTCCAATACTTTCGCTGGCATTTCCACACTTCACTATATACCACACAGCTTCACCCTGCCAGGGGACTAGGATGAAAGGACTCTGCAAGTAGCCTCTTGCTGTACCTTCCGAGGTACTTGTGGGAGGTGCTTTGCTGCATGCTTGCTAGTTAACACTTCAACACAGTGATTACATTTAAGGACAAGGCTATGCTGGCAAGTTCTTGACACAAGTATCATTGCATGATGCAGGAACAGCCTGCACGGTGCATGCTAAGCCTGGCAAACCAGATCACGTCTGCCACTTGGCCAGGCATCAACACCCACACTGCCATGACCCAGCAGGTCTCAAACTTTAGCAACCGAAAGGACCCCCTTTTAATCTGATTTTTTTTGCCCCGTCCCACTGAGGCCTGCTCATTCTGCCTTCGAGACCCCCCAGTCCCGCTCACTCCAGCGTTCTCCCTCTGTCACATGCTCTCCCCTACCCTCACTCACTTTCACCAGGCTGAGGTGGGGGTTAGGGTGCAGGGGAGTGAGGTCTTTGGCTGGGGGGGGTGCAGGCTCTGGGGAAGGGGTGGGTAATAACGTGAGTTATTTACTGGCACAATGAATGTGGCCACTACAAATGGCACCAAACATACCCACCGGAAATGTTAACGCATGTTAAATTGGTTATTCGTGTGCTCCTGGTCAAAATTTACACCTAAGCAGTTTTTGTTGAAAGGGCAGAATTGCTTCTGCAGTTTGTCCTCTCTGAGCAGAGCAGCTGGCATGCTGGGCTGGTGAATCAAGCGTGCTACAGCAGCCCTTGGCAATCCAGGCGAGTGAACGGGCTGCATGAGTGGCCCTTCTTCATCTCAGTGGGCTGCAAGGTTAGTGTAATCAAGGTGGCCTCCTGGGAGAGGGTAGTTTTGCTAACTGGGCTTGTGTACCTCGAATTTGCAGGGTGTGCCGAAGCGTAGAAGGGCTTTTGGCTGCAGAGGAAGCGCACAGCTCTTACAGTCAATGTTGTGTGCAATCAGCATGCACCTCACTTCATCTGCCCGTGCTTTGTGTGTGTCATGTCAGTAATCCCAATGGGAGGGGGAACGATGCAGATGGAAACCACTGGAATCTGGCACCCCTGCACATGGGCAAAACATCTGGTGGGCCACACATAGAACCCCAGTGGGTTGCAGGATGCCCACCCAAGAGCTAGAGGGAAGCCACAGGCTCTATCCCCCCAACCAATGAAAAAAAGTGTCATCAGATGGCAAACACCCAAACCTCACTGCTGAAGACACTGCCAGCCACATCAGTATTGGTTTGAGTCACAGTGCTGCCAGCCACATCAGTATTGGTTTGAGTCACTGAGCTAGTACTGCTCATTAGGGTTGCCAACGGAATTAGGGCCAGCGTTACATACTGAAGCAGGAACGCAAAGACCTTGATGAAACCACATCAGAGCTAGCAATAGGAAAATAAGTAGGCAACTACAGCCTAGTATCATTTCTTAACGATGACCTGGGCCATGCCACAGCTTGAAACTAACACCCTGTTGCGGAAGGATGTGCTGCATCAGCCCTGATGGATATTTTTGATAATTCATGTTCAGAGCGTGATTCTGACGGCTGTTTCATGTTATCTTTTTCTCTCCGTGGGTGGGTTGTGCTGTGCCCACTTGCAGTTGGTGCTGGGTGACTCATTGCATGGAAGGAAGCATGCTGGGAAGTGAGATAACAGAGAAGCGGGCGCTGAAAGCAAACACCCAAAGCACACCCAGAAACCAGAATGGGGTTTTTTTTTGTTTGTTTGGTTTGGGGTTTTTTTTCCCCTCTTTGATACATGCTAACTTCCTGTTCAGGGTTGCAGATTAAAAATACACCCCAGGAGATGCAAGCAAGTGAAACTGTGAAGTGAGCTGGTAAAGGTCGGGGAAATGACTGTCAGAGAAGTCTGAGGTTTGCCTCCCAAGCAGTTCTGGTTAAGGGTTGCGGAGGTGCTGCAGTTTCACTCTGTACCCAGAGTTACCAAATAATTGCTTCTTACTACTGGCATATGTGTAATGTCCCCAATGGACCCAGACTGGGATGGGGCACTACAGCTCAGACACGCTACAGCAAGCCAGCAAGATTTCTTAAACAGGGTGGGTTGGCTAACGTGTGGGCTCTGGGGTTATTGGTGAGCTCTGAGTGAATGTTCCCCAAAACCAGGATCTTTTCTCCTCTCCTTGTTCCTTAGGGCAATGTACCAGGGATTAGCAGCTCTGCGGCAAGCCATCAAAAATGGCTGTAGGGCTCTGCCTGCTTGCTGGTGGTACACAGATCATCAGGGACAAGCATGGTGGGAAGGGGAGCAGGGCACAGGCTGCCCTAATAATCAGTGGGGACACAGAACCCCTCTAACCCCAGGGCTACTTCTTAGAGCTGAGAGCTGCTCCAACCCCAGGACCATGGCCAGGGCAGTTAACATCTCTGGGCCAGAAGCTGCAGCAAAGTGACCAAGCCCTGGGGGGTCTCACTAGCATAGTTTTGAAGCCCTTTGTGGTAAGACAAGCGCAAAGATTTGCAAGGACCCCTACGCAAAACGACAGGCAGGATCCCATCCCTTTTCTTCCCTGCCTGTAACCCACCCCTTCATCCCATTGCTGGCTACCCACAGACAGCCAATGAAGCCTTCCTTCTCCTTTTTGAGGTGCTGTGTTCCCAGCTCAGCTCTGCATGTGCTGCAGTATCCAATCCATGGTTTGGCGGTGCTGCCATTCAGCTGGTGTGCTTATATCTCACCACAAGAGTGGGCTTGGTATGTATGCTGCAACCAGACTAGCTGGACAACCTGTCATTCATGGGAAAAGGACCCTCCCTCCCCTCCCCTCCCCCCCGGACTGATGACGACAGTTTGGCAGTCACTGCAGGTGCAGTCTTGAGAAGGCTTCATGCAACAAGCTTCTTCCTGGAAGCTGGACACAGGTCAAGGGCAGAGGAAATGTGACTGGCTCAGGCTGGCTACCACAACCTGTGTGGTATGTTATGTTCATGGGCGTGTGTTGCTGGCATATCATGTAGGAGAACTACGGGCTGCAAAGTGTTCAGCCACAGCCACCTTCAAGGGCCTTTAAGCAGGAAGTGGTGTGCTGTGTCTCTATGCAGGAGCGATGCCAAATACCCAGGGTGCAAGTTTGCACTGGAGAGAATAACCACATGCCATTGATCCGCAAATAAGCTGCTTTATTGAAAGCAAAGAATGATGGCTACCATGGGGTTTCCACGGTAACTATCAGGTTTAATTCCCTGAGAACATTGTTGTCCTTGTCATTTCTTTTCCAATCTATTTCTTTTAAACACATACTAGTTATGCTAAGTACAGAGTGAGGTTCCAGATACTGGAACCCATAAATTAAGGTTAAGTGATCCGTTGTAAGACATTTCAATTTCATTTTTAAACAGATTCTCAGAAGGTTGGGGTTTTTTTCCGATCCACAGAAAATGTATAAAAAAACCTTTCAACCCTACATCATTCTCAATGTAAAGAACAGCACAGTAAAAAAAAATTACTGTCGCAATAAGATATTTACAGACGCACCCAGTATGGGCCATTTTCACTCAGCCTCTGATTGGACACATTCCGCTCTGCCTCTGCCCACTTAGCCATGCAGAGAACAATTAGCCCTCATCTCCCTTGGCAAAGGAGGCTTAGTCAAGTCAACGTTCATACGGGAGCAGAGGGGTTGAGCGAACTACGCGGTTGTCACCTTTTCAGCTGACCGATCCTCCACTGACCAGAGGGAGCAGAGTTGAGCAATGTAAATCATTTCCTTCCCCACATGTTGAGAATGGAGTTTCCACAGCATTAGGCCCATATCCTTCCTCCTATCGCCTTCAGCAGACCAGAAGCCCTGATCCAACATATACCCTAAGTCTCCAAAAATGGTGTTTCTTGCCGGTTGCTTGCCCAACATCTCTTCTTCCCTCACACTTTGTGGAGAGTGGGGACCAATAGCTGTGGCAAAGACTTATGCTTTCGGGGGCTAATGCTGCTCTCACAATAGAGACAGGACTAACTCCACTGTAGGACTTAGCCTTCCCCACTTACCCTGGCCTGTCAGAGGAGGAGGCAGACTGCACCACTAGAACCTGCACACTCAACCTGCAGTGGGACCCTTAGTCACAATCCTCCAAATATGCTTTATTCACCCTCTGCATCAGCAGCTAACTCCCCTGGACAGGCCCAGCCTGAATGTTTTCACTCCACTGAACCTAAAGCATTAAACTGGCATAACCAGTGCATTCCACATATGTTAATAATTGGCCCAGACAGACACTAGTAAGAGACAAACCACGTAGAACACTTTTTCCCCTCCGCAAAGATGCTCCAAAGGCAAAGTAGGCAGAGGCTTTGCACTGAAGGGAGATGTTACATCTCCATATAAATATAGCATAAACATGGACACAGCATGTATGCATTTCTTTGTAAACCCCCCCTTTATAAATGTCTTTAAATTATCCTATATAAATACTGCATAGCTTTATAGTACTGAAAATATTTCAGTGAGGCATAGGGAACTCCAGTGAACAGAGTTAACATTGATTCTCGGCTTTGGCCACCAACCCCTCTCCTTGCTCCTCTTTCCCAAACCTGTCTCCCTTCAGTGCTACTATAAGCTGAGATTCTAAGAATCCAGCTCTAAACACAACAAAAGTACACAATTCCTGCAGGGCACTTTCTGGACTCAGCTCCAGTGTGGGCAGAGAACTGCCCTTGGAGCCAGCAAACTTCTCCTGTTCCCCCCAGGACAGAAGCCAGCATTGGAGGGAGGCAAGAAAGCAGAGCAGAGGGGTGTAATTAACCCCTCTGCCACAACTATTATCAATGAATTTTCATCTTAAAAAGTATCTGGAGCTGAAGGATGAAGAATTGGGGAAGGCAAGCAAATAAGGGGGTAGCTAGGGGAATAAAGCTGGTTGGGGTTATGGGAAGCGGGAATAAAGGGGAGCAAGAGATGGGCACACTGGGAGAGAGGGACCATTTTAAAGTAAAATTCCAGCAGAAAAAGAAAGTAATGGCAGTAAAGATCTGGCCCAGGCCCATGCTTGTTCCGCATACATCCTATGAGAATTGCAAACACTGCAAAGGAATAGGCAAAGACCTGCTGGCTGGTGTTCAGGAGACTTCTCCTTCACAAGCCAGCTTGGTCCCTGTGCCACACAGGTTAAGTGCTCAGGACTTAGCCTTCCCCACCTACCCTGGCCTATCAGAGGAGGAGGCAGACTGCACCACAAAAACCTGCATTCTCAGCCTGCACGGGGAGATGAGAGGGCCGCACAGCAGCCTATAAACCACACACACTGTGCATTACCACAGCAATAATAACCACTCGCCTCGCAGCAGGGAAATCACATGCACACATACAGGTCCCACAAGCCCTTCGGATACCAGGGAAACTTGGGACGAGGTTGACGGGGACACGTGTCTCCTAGTACGCCACGTTCTGAGGGCACCATGGCGTGTCTGGATACAGCAAGCAGTGAATGGAGCGGAACCTGCAAGAGGGGGAAAAAAACAGGGATCAGCACTGGAGCCAAGACCTGCTCACAAGGCTTACATCTCTTTCCAAAAGGTGCATGAAGCAGCTGTGCAAAAGTTAACTCTTAGGGCTCCGTCTCCACTGCCGTTTGGAAGTGGGACTGCAACACGTGTAGACAGACTCGAGCTAGAGCAAAGCTAGCTTGAGTAACTAAAGCAGTGAAACTGCAGCCGCATGGGGTGTAGGGGAGAGGCAACGTGTTACAAGTTTTGCTGTCTGATTGCCCAGGTAGCCTTAAAAATCCAGGCTTCCTCATTGTATGGGGGTAAAAGGAGGAGCATATCTGGATGCACACGAATGTGGGGGGGTTGAGGAACACGCAGCTCACCTGGATGGATCCTCATCAATGGAGAAAGCTCCCTTCATGTGGATGGAATTCCTCTTGTTTTCAAACATGCCGTAGCTCAATGTCACCTGGAGAGCAGAGGTGAAGATGTTGCTAGGGCCAAGGCACTGCTCTTGACGGAGGGACAGTATGATTCAGTGGTTAAGGCATGGACCTTGGCGATCTGGGTCTGCTCTGTCACAGACTTCCTGTCTGACCTCAGGTAAGCCACTGAGTTTCTCTGTGCCCTGTCCCTACATTGGGGATAGTAGCCCAGCCCTGCCTCACAGGTGTGGTATGAGGGTAAAGATGGTAACACTTGCAAGGCACTCAGACATGGTGGTGAGGTCACTTCCTCACAGCACTAGAGAAAACCCCCAAATGAGAGCTCTGTCAGGGCACAGACTTCCTGTCTGACCTCAGGTAAGCCACTGAGTTTCTCTGTGCCCTGTCCCTACATTGGGGATAGTAGCCCAGCCCTGCCTCACAGGTGTGGTATGAGGGTAAAGATGGTAACACTTGCAAGGCACTCAGACATGGTGGTGAGGTCACTTCCTCACAGCACTAGAGAAAACCCCCAAATGAGAGCTCTGTCAGGGCTCTGGA